GGCAGTGCACTGCAGTGAAGAGGCCTGACAAGGTCCTTGCCCCAGTGCTATGGTTCTCAATGGGGGAAGTATGGAACTTGAAAAGGGTGTTCGGAAATCTGGGGCAGAGAAGGTATTTTGGGCTGTCTGCTTCATTACACCTTCTAAGGGAGTCACTCCTAGGTATCTACAAGGGGAAGTTAAAAAACACTTCGTTATAAATAAAAGGTTAATTCACAACTTTCAATACCACTGACTCAGCGGAACTTACCTCCCAAAAGTAGGAGAAACAGCTAAATGAAAAAAATAATCTCACAAAGTGGTACAAAGAAAATAAAGGTACTGATATGAAGCGCGACAGTCTAGTATAAATGGGATTCTCAGGGAAGGCCTCACTGAGAAACACATTAGGTACCTGTGAACGTTAACTCCTGTACTCACACTACACGGAACTAAAAGTACAATGAAGTAAAAACTGTCATTTTTTAATATCAGTGCTCATCCATACTATCATCCATTGTATTGGCCTGCTGTTATTAACTTCCGAGTACAATCGTCTAGTCATTCTTTACCAAACCAACAACAGGCAGTAAAACCTTAGCTACCTCACTTGACTTTGAAGATGAGTCGCTAAACAATACTTGAAGCTGCTCTTACAACCCTGGCTCGGACAGTTTGTAATATTCATTGTTCGCACACCCAATGCAGCTAACAAAAGAAATTCACGCCCTCCGGTTTGCTGAGCTCGAGATGCTCCTGTACACCGGGGTGAGCTGGGGCTCTAGCCCGCGATGCAGGGATTCCCAAAGGCCTGGCCCCCGGGACCTGGTGGAGCCCCGGGCGCGCGAGCGCCTAGAGCGGACGGCGGGGGCGTGGCGGGCCCGGCGCCTGCCTTTGTTGTCCCTCGTGGCGCGCGGGGGGGGAGGGGCGGCCCGAGGCCCGCGAGGCCAGTAGCTGCGCCCGGCTCCCGTCGCGTGGCCTCCCCGGCCCCCAAGGGCGCGCGAACCCACCTTCTTGTAGTGCTTGCCCAGCCAGACCCGCACCGAATCCAGCTGGGACACCGTCTCCGGGCTCTCCCAAAACTTGCTGGCCGGGCCACCGTCCTTCCGCCGATAAACGGCCAGGCCCGCGGCCGTCGCCGCACCTCCCGCGCCCGCGGCGCCCGCCGCCGCCCCTACCCCGCCGCCGCCCGCCGCCGCGGCCATAGTCTCCGTCCGTCGTCCCCACCGCCCGGCCCGCCTCGGCCCTCGCGGCGATCCCCGTTCGCACTCGCGCGCGCGCGCGCAGCCGCCGCCACCGCCTCCCGACCCCGCCCAGCCAACCCCCTTCCGGCGCGGAGGGCCGGCCCCGCCCCTTCTCGGGACCCGGTCCCTAACCGAAGAGGGCACGCGCGCACGCATGCGCATCACCGGCGCCGGGCGGGCTTGGGACTAGCACTTGCCCCCGCCTCTTCCGCCCGCCGAGGGAGGCTGCGCACCTTCTCCGCTACCCAGCCTGGGCCTCTGCAGGAGGTGCTGTATCCAAGTTCCTGCATCCCGTCAACCACTGCACCAAGGTTCTGTGTCATCCCCTGACACCGTCGGAGAAAAGACCTGGCGTGAGAAGTTCCGAGGGGGAAGCCCGTTTAGGGTGTCCAGTGCTGGCCGAGGAACCCCCACGCAGGGTGGGAATCTGCGTCGGCTTGCCCCCCTGCCCTCAGACTTTCTGCACAGAGTGGCCGCTTAGCCTTTGTAAACGTCCACCTGGGACCACCACCCGGAGCAGCTTCGGCAGCACACACCTTCCTCCCCCTCGTGGCTGCAGCCACACCAGCTCTTTCCTACCTCGGGGCCCTTGCACCGGCCGTTCTTGAGACCTGCACAGCTCTTCCCCTATGACTGTCGCTTAGGCGCTTTCAAATTCATAGCCTAAGGGTACTTTAAGAAAAAACGATCTCTGAGCGTACAATATTGAACAGCTAATCATATTCACTCGACATTCTCTAGCACTCACGACGACCTGGTATTTTTTATTTTACTTGTCCACATTCATTACATGAGAACCTAATCGTAACTTGTTCACAGGGGTACTTTCAGTGCTGGGAACAGAGCCTGTCATCTAATAAATATTCCATAAATATTTGATGAATGAGTGAATGAATGACCTACGGAGGAGCAGAAAGATTTTAAATTATTAACAAAGTACGATTGGCCATTATGGAGTTATAAACATGATGTTATATAACACCAGAACAGCAGGTGACTAATTACTTGTGAGAAAGTCTGGTGAGGTTTTGAGACCAACTTTTAAGCATGAATAGAATGTGATCAGGGAGGAAAGGACATTTCAGACACACAAAAACAACCGGATCAAAGGCTTTAAAGTGTGAAAGCAAGCTGGGTGAAACCTTCTTTGAGCCCATGGTGTGGAAGCAGAGATGTTACTTGATTGTGGCAGTGAATTTTGACTTTATCCTGTAAGCATTGGGAAATCAGCTTGAACAGGGAGAATTATGTGATCAGATCTACAGATTAGGAAGACAATGGTTGCAAGTGTGAATGACATATTAGAGAAAAGATGAAAAAAGATTACCTGATAAACAGTGTAGGACAGAAACAATGAGAATAATATATGAGTCAGATGTGAATCTTGTCCCCTTAGAGCTCAGACTTCAGAAATACAATAGCTGGTGTTTATGGGGCACTTTTATGTGCTGTCCTCTGTGCTAGGTACACCTGTATTACTGCAGATAAGGAAATTGAGGCAGAGAGAGGTTAAGTAACTGGCTAGCAGGTATTAGAGTATTAGACCCTGGAGTACTAATGCACCCCCTCCTTTCTAAGTACACTGCGTTTTCTATTTTTTTAAGATTGATTTATTTATTTGTTTGAGAGAGAGATGCAGGGAGGGGCTGAGGGAGAGGTGGAGAGTCTTAAGCAGCGCCCGTGCTGAGCTCGGAGCCGGAAGCAGGGCTAGAGCTCATGACCCTGAGATCACAACCTGAGCCAAACCAAGTGTCTGATACTTAACTGACTACGCCACCCAGGTGCCCCAGCTGTGTTTCCTATTAATAGCTTGTGAGTAGAGCAGAGAAAATGCTCTGGAGGAATTCAGAAAACAATTTCATTTGCCCGGAGCCATAGAGAAGGAAGTTAGTTCTTCCAGGCCAGTGGTATTCCAATTTTTTTGCTCATATAACTTCTAAACTAATTTGGAAAACTACATACCTTTTCCTTTTAAGAAAAACATCTAAAATTTTTCATTAAAATTAATTGAGCACATTAAAAGATGGGCATTTTTAAATAAAATGGTTTTATCATGTTTTAAAAGTTTTTATTTTGGGGGCACCTGGGTGGCTCAGTTAGTCATGCATCTGCCTTCCACTCAAGTTGTGATCCCAGGGTCCTAGAACTGAGCCCCGCGTCTGGATCCCAGCTCAGCGAAGAGCCTCTCCCCCTCCCCCCGCCCCCGCTCGTGCACCCTCTCTCTCTCTCTCACGCGCGTGCTCGCTCTTTCGCTCTCTACCTCAAATAAATATTTAAAAAATAAAAATTTTAAAGAGTTTTTATTTTGAAATAATCTCAAACTTACAAAAAAGTTACAAATATAGTACAAAGAACTTTTTCTTTTCCTGAACCACATGAGAGTATGTTGCTGACATGATGACCCATCATTCTCAAAAATGTTAGTGTAGGGGTGCCTGGGTGGCTCAGATGGTTAAGCGTCTGCCTTCGGCTCAGGTCATGATCCCAGGGTCCTGGGATCGAGTCCCGCATTGGGCTCCCTGCTAGGCGGGGAGCC